CACACACTCTCTCTTTGGCACTCGAGATGCACGCTCACACACAAGATAGATCTGTCAGGTTGTGGCTTTGTGGTTTCAGGATGGCAAATACACAAAACACCGGCGCTCACCAGCGTGGACGTGCTGCTGCTGCTGCGTGAGCTCATTTTGTACAATACACCACAGACGGGGGTGGGGGGGGGTTAAAGAGGCCAGGAGTGAGGGTGATAATGATGTGGAGGGGATGACAGGCAGAGGCACGGCTGCTGTTAACTGTTTTAAAAGCTCATCACAGCCACTGAGGAGCAAGGCAGCAGGACGCCGACGAAGATGGATGACCTCTGGATTGGAGCAGACGCCGCTCGAAGCTCAGGGAGTGTGTGTGTGCTTGTGTGTGTGTGTCTAATGCTGCTGGTGTGTTGCAGGGGAATGTGCGCTTCCTGAAGCTGCTTCTGTCCAGGCGGGCCAACTGTCTGCAGAAAGACTTAGAGGGCATGACCCCTCTTCACCTGGCCACTCGGCACCCGTCCCCCAAAGCCCTCGCCCTGCTTCTAAAACACATCGGACCAGGAGAGGTCGACACGCAAGACAAGAACAAGGTCCCAAACATTTAAGTAGCATCAAAAGTTATTTTTGTGTGTGTCTGACTACAACCTGCAGGAAGATTCAAGTAGTTCACGTGAGTCTCTTGGAAGTTTGAGCGGAACACACAATTTCGGAGAAGTGCGTGCACTCTGCAGCAAACGATGCAACAATCTGGCTTTGTTCCGCGTTCTCCCGATAAGACCACAGACACACAGTCTCCTCTGTCTGCCGGAGCTGATGTCTTTTTAGTATTTAGTTTTGTAATAATCCAATATGCATCATCGTGTCAGATGACAGCAGTTTCAGCGACTCTCAGAATAGCTCCGTAGCCGACGTGGAGTTGGTATCGGGGTTAGGATCTCTGTCTGCTGCTGGAGCTTCAATGCCAGCTTTGTGCAGCGTGCTCCTTCACATTTCCTCACCACGTTGTAGCGGAGTAAATCTTTTTCCCAGCCTCTGCTGTGGTTTTTACGACAACTCTTGCCTTTTCAGCTTCATTCATTCATTTTTCTACACCTACAGCAAACCGCTCTTCACTGGTCAGCGTTTTATAATCGACCAGAGCACGTCCGCCTTCTGATCAAGCACGATTCCAACATCGGCATCCCGGACAGCGAGGGGAAGATCCCCCTCCACTGGGCTGCACACAGCCAGGAGGCCAGCGCCACACAGACCGTCCGCTGCATCCTGGTACACCGAAATACACACACCTGAACCTGTCGTCACCATCAGCTGCCTCCCCACTCAGTGTGTGTGTGTGTGTGTGTGTGTGTGTGTGTGTGTGTGTGTGTGTGTGTGTGTGTGTGTGTGTGTGTGTGTGTGTGTGTAAAGGAAGCAGCACCCACCGAGTCCCTGTTGAACTGGCAGGACTACGAGGGTCGGGACACCGTTGCACTTCGCCGTTGCCGATGGCAACGAGGCCGTGGTGAAGCTGCTCACCTCTTATAAGGGCTGCAATGTGACAGCTTACGATAACCTGTTCAGAACGCCGCTGCACTGGGCCGCTCTGCTGGGTAAGAACACAAAAACCAGCCTGAGCAGGGTTTCCCCCAGAAAACGAGTAAAGCCCGACGGCCTGGCCCGTCGGCGGCGGGGGGGGGGGGGGGGGGGGGGGGGGGGGGGGGTTGGTGTATGGATTCCGAGTCCCGTTGCTCGTCCGTGACAGTAGGTGTGCGTGTGTGTGTATGAAGCGGACGGTCCTTTCCATTGCTTGGTCGTGACAGCGGGGGGTGCGGGGGATGGTGCGTGCACACGATCCGCTGCTGTTTCTCACCAGTATCAGCTGACAGAGGGCCGTGCTTTTGTTTCACTGCCGTGCTCCGTTCGTGTCAGCGGACACGGTAGGGTCGGGGCATGACGCAACGCCTGGCGGGCCGCTGGGGGAAACCTGCTAAATATACAACCTGAAACAGTTCTCGACATCAGATCAGCCCACACGTCTCATCCGTACTGACGCTAGCTGTATTCAGTTGTTGTTCTGACACGTGGATGAGCCCCTACTGTGTTACTGCTGCATGCAAAGGGACATTAAAGAGCAAGTTCACTGAGAAACATTTATTTTTTATTTTTTAGATATAACGGGTCACTCTGAGTGTTTCGTGCAGGCTGAACATGAAAATAGTCTCCTACACCTGTCTCCTGCATCAGCTTCTAGTAGAAAACAGACGGTGAAACTCTAGGATTAGAAAATCCCGACAGATCTACGTCACACTGTCACTAACATTCATTTTCTTTCTTTCTTTTATCCAATCAGAGGAGCGATGACATAAAATATCAGGAAATAAGACTCCACATCTGAAGCTCACCTCTGCCCTAGCTCACTTCTAGTTCCTGAAACTGCACGGTTGCACGGCTCCAATTCGTACAGAACTCAGTGGCTAGGTTCCTGACAGGTACTAGATGTCGAGATCACATTACTCCAGTGCTGACTGCTCTG